CGCTGCCCTGTTTAAAGATGTGTATGAATGTAAACAAGTGTCATTTGGTGACTATCTGTCTTTTGAATATCTGAGTATAGCACTAAAAGGTGCTCCACGCATCTTACTAATCATTATCTACAGACCTCCAAAATATTCTCCAGCTTTTATTGAGGATTTTACAGAGCTGTTATCAATAGTAACCTCTGAATTTGATTATTTTAGTATTGCTGGGGATTTTAATATTCACATTGATAATCCAGAAATCAATGCTGTAAAAGAACTGATCACTGTTTTTAACACTTTTGATCTGACTCAGCATGTTCAAGGACCCACACACAATCGTGGACACACTCTTGATCTACTTATAACTAAGGGTTTACACATTTCATCAACTGTTGTTAAGGATGTGGCACTATCTGATCATTTCTGTATCTTTTTTGATATATTGATCACTCCAGCTATTAAAAACAGATCTGTCTCTGTCAGAAAGAGATGCATAAATGAGAACACCAGTGAGCAGTTTATGAAGGCCATATCACTAGCACCAAGTATATCTGCAGATTCTGTTGATTCTCTCCTTGATTTATTCAATTCGAAAATTGAGAATGTCATAAATGACATCGCTCCTGTTAAAGTCAAGAAGATGACTGGCAGGCAAAAGGGATCTTGGACAAGGTCACCGAAAGTACAAATGATGAAAAGACAGTGCAGAAAAGCTGAGCGTATGTGGAGAAAAACGAAACTAGTAGTCCATTATAACATCTATAAAGACAGTCTTCATGCCTTTAATATGGAACTAAACACTGCTAGACAGACTTTCTTTTCAAGCCTTATAAACAGCAACTTAAATAATGCTCGTACACTCTTTGCAACGATAGAGAGACTCACAAACCCCCCCAGTCAGATTCCCAGTGAGCTCCTCTCTGAAAGCAAATGTAATGAGTTTGCTCATTTCTTCACTGATAAGATTAATAATATCAGAAAGGCAATCAGCTCATCCAATCAACCAAGTTGTGTCGATATCAAACAAGCTCAACCACAACTTAAGAAATCAGACACTATGTCTGATTTCATGGCAATTAACAGCAAAATCTTAGAAGAAATTGTGCAAGTTATGAAAACATCAACCTGCAGTCTTGACACGCTCCCCACATCATTCTTCAAAACGGTGTTTACCTGTTTAGAAATGGATCTTCTAAAAGTGGTAAATGCTTCACTTCTATCAGGGGTTTTTCCAACCTCACTTAAAACTGCAGTTGTTAAACCCCTCTTGAAGAAGAGCAACCTGGATAACACCCTATTGAGCAATTACAGGCCAATCTCAAATCTCCCTTTCATTGGCAAAATCATTGAAAAAGTTGTTTTTAACCAGGTTAACAAGTTCTTAAACTTCAGGGGGTGTTTAGACAATTTTCAATCGGGGTTCAGAGCACATCACAGTACAGAGAGCGCTCTTATAAAGATAATCAATGATATACGCCTAAATACAGATTCAGGTAAAATAACAGTGCTGGTATTGTTGGATCTCAGTGCTGCATTTGACACTGTCGATCACAGCATACTTCTGGATAGGCTGGAAAACTGGGTCGGGCTGTCTGGCACGGTCCTTAAATGGTTTAGATCTTACCTAGAAGGTAGAGGTTACCATGTCAGTATAGGTGACCATAGGTCGAGGTGGACACCCATGAGGTGTGGAGTCCCACAAGGCTCGATTCTTGCACCTCTCCTGTTCATCCTTTACATGCTCCCTCTAAGCCAAATAATGAGAAAGAACCAAATCTCCTACCACAGCTATGCTGATGACACTCAGATCTACCTAGCCTTACTGCCTAATGACTACAGCCCCATTGACACCCTCTGCCAATGCATTGATGAAATGAGCAATTGGATGTGCCAAAACTTTCTTCAGTTAAACAAAGAGAAAACTGAAATTATTGTGTTTGGAAACAAAGATGAGGTTCTCAAGGTAAATGCGTACCTTGACACTAAAGGTCAAACGACAAAAAATAAGGTCAAGAATCTTGGTGTGACTCTGGAGTCAGATCTGAGTTTCAACAGTCATGTCAAAGCAGTCAGTAAATCAGCATACTATCATCTCAAAAACATAGCAAGAATCAGATGCTTTGTTTCTAGTGAAGATTTAGAAAAACTTGTTCATGCTTTTATCAGCAGCAGGGTGGATTACTGTAATGGACTCCTCACTGGCCTTCCTAAAAAGACAGTCAGACAGTTGCAGCTCATCCAGAACGCTGCAGCCAGAATTCTAACCAGAACCAGAAAATCAGAGCACATCACACCTGTCCTCAGGTCTTTACACTGGCTGCCAGTTACATTCAGAATAGATTTTAAAGTATTATTACTGGTCTATAAATCACTAAATGGCCTAGGACCTAAATACATCACAGATATGCTCACTCAATACAAACCTAACAGATCACTCAGATCTTTAGGATCATATAAACTAGAAGTTCCAAGAGTTCAGTCAAAGCAGGGTGAATCGGCTTTTAGCCACTATGCCCCTCGCTGCTGGAATCAGCTTCCAGAAATGATCAGATGTGCTCCAACATTAGGCACATTCAAATCAAGACTGAAAACACATCTGTTTAGCTGTGCCTTTACTGAATGAGCACTGTGCTGCGTCCGACAGATTGCACTATCATGTTTTTCTCTTCTTCTTCATTCTTTTATATCACATTTTACCTGTTTTTATGTTTTGTTTTGTTTTTATGCATTTTTATTATTTGTTTTTATTTTTATTTTATTTTTACTTGTTTCTTTTATTCTTGTTTATGTAAAGCACTTTGAATTGCCATTGTGTATGAAATGTGCTATATAAATAAACTTGCCTTGCCTTGCCTTGCCTTGTACGGCACTGCAAAAAGGGTAGGGCTGTGCAATTAATTGAAAGTCTGGTTTCAATTTTGATTTTGGCTTCTAATGATTATAAAACTAAATTGAGATAAACAATTACTGCATCATATACCGCCCCCTTTCCAGTTGTACACATTTGTTGCTCTGCAAAGCTCAGTTTCACGTGAAAATGACTAAAATCATGTACCGTATTTTCCGCACTATAAGGCGCACCTAAAAGCCTTAAATTTTGTTATAAAACGGCCATGCGCCTAATAATCCGGTGCGCTTTATGTGTGCACGGAGTTCAAAAATCTGTCTAATCTGGACAGTTAGAAGACCAACTTAAATGAATTCGGAGCTTGCTGTCATTCCGGGAGGACTAACAAAAGAACTTCAACCGCTGGATATTGGTGTAGACGGCGTTTAAAGTGAAGTTGCGAGCTGCGTGGGAGCAATGGATGACAGACGGCGAACACACTTTTACTAAGACTGGTAAGCATGCCGGGCGAGTTACGCCACCATATGTGAATGGATTGTGGATGCCTGGGCTAGGGTGTCTGCTTTAACTTTTGTCCGAGCTTTCGCAAAAGCCGGAACAGCCACCCGGCAATGAGACTGACTCCGACAATGATGAGAGAGAACCCGGCGTGTTTGATGACGAAACTGCCCAGCTGTTCAATTCAGACACAGAAGATGAGGACTTTGATGGATTTTTGGGAGAAGACTGATTGAAAAAAATAATAATGTGAGTGTATTGTTAAATAGTACAATAAAGTTCAACTAAACTATGTTAACTGTTTTGCTTCCATTACCTTTTTTGCAGACAGTGTATTTTAGCGTGCGCCTTATAATACGGTGCGCCTTATGTATGGGTCAAGTACAGAAATAGACCCCGTAATTGAGACTGCGTCTTATAATCCGGTGCGCTTTATAGTGCGGAAAATACGGTACTGTGTTGTTTGCAGCATGGAATGCGCATCATTCATTGATGTATGTTCGAATCATTCATGTTTTAAAAGCGAAAAGAGCGTATGCTGTTGTGTTTGGGCACTTAGCCTCAGAGACAAGCAGAGCACACACATCTAACGCCATCTTAATGCGAGCGATTTAATGGTCAAATATAAGATTTGTGTCAGAGCGTAATGTTTAGTGAATATTCATATTAACCCTCATTTGTGTAATAAACAAACAAGTAACAATAAAAAGACAAGTGAAAGAGAAACCATATCAGTTATACTGCACTATTCTTAAAGAGAAGGCGCGCAATATTCCTGCTGCCGCCTGTTTTTCTTATTAATCAAAAAACAAAGGGAGAAAATCCCTCACTGCTCTTGACTGAAGGATGTTTGTAGCTGAAGTTTTTTTTCTAACAGTTAAGATTTTTAAAGCACACTTTGTTTCATATTTTTATTCTATTGTATGTATTTCCCTTTCCCTTTTTTTACAGGGAGGAAAATAACTGCATATTTACAGTTAAAGTCAGAGTTTTTTCCTGAATTATTAGCGACCCTTTCCCCCCAATTTCTGTTTAATGGAAAGATTTATTTTCAACCTAGACAGATTTACTAACTCATCTCTAATAACTGATTTCTTTTATCTTTGTTAAGATGATATTTTTCAAGATACTAGTATTTAGCTTAATGTGAAATTCAAAGGCTTAATTCATGTAATTAGGCAAGTCATTGTACAAAAGTAGTTTATTCTGCAGACAATCAAAAAATGTATATTGCTTAAGGGGGCTGATAATATTGAGCTATTAAAATAGGTTACAAAATATTTACACCTGCTTTTATTCTAGCCGAAATAAAACAAATAAGCCTTTCTCCAGAAGAAAAAAATATTATAGAAAATACTGTGATAAATTCCTGTTAAACATCATTTGGGAAATATTTATATACAAAAATAAAATTCAGGGTAAATAATTTTGACTTAACTGATAATCGTTTTGAATCATCGTGATTACAATTATTACCAAAATAATCGTGATTATGATTTTTTCTATAATCGAGCAGCCCTAGAAAAGGGGCGGGATTAAACAAGATGATTACACATTAACTGAGCGACTGGTCCATATTTTACATTTCTGTCCAGAGAGGTCTTGTTATGAAAAGTCCAGTGTGACCGCGGCTTAAGTATAAGTGAATTGTATCTCTCCAGCGTGGAACTTCATGTGGTAATTAAGGGATGTTGACTGGCTGAAACTTTTCCCACACTGAGTGCATATGAATGGTTTCTCTCCAGTGTGGATCCTCATGTGCTGATTAAGGTTTGATGAGCAGGTAAAACACTTTCCACACTGAGTGCATGTAAATGGTTTCTCTCCAGTGTGAATCCTCATGTGTTTATTAAGGTGTGATGATTGGCTGAAACTCTTCCCACACTGAGTGCATGTGAATGGTTTCTCTCCAGCGTGGAACTTCATGTGGTAATTAAGGGATGATGACTGGCTGAAACTTTTCCCACACTGAGTGCATATGAATGGTTTCTCTCCAGTGTGGATTCTCATGTGCTGATTAAGGGTTGATGAGCAGGTAAAACACTTTCCACACTGAGTGCATGTGAATGGTTTCTCTCCAGTGTGGATCCTCATGTGTTTATTAAGGGATGATGATTTGCTGAAACTCTTCCCACACTGAGTGCATGTAAATGGTTTCTCTCCAGTGTGGATCCTCATGTGTTGATTGAGGGATGATGATTGGCTGAAACTCTTCCCACATTTAAGGCATTTGAATGGTTTCTCTCCAGTGTGGATCATCATGTGGTGATTAAGGTGTGATAAATAGTTGAAACTCTTCCCACACTGAGTGCACGTGAATGGTGTCTCTCCAGTGTGGATCATCATGTGTAAATCAAGGTGTGATAATTGGCTAAAACTCTTTCCACACTGAGTGCATGTGAATGGTTTCTCTCCAGTGTGGATCATCATGTGTTTACTACGGGATGATGATTGACTGAAACTCTTCCCACACTGAGTGCACGTGAATGGTTTCTCTCCAGTGTGGCTCATCATGTGTTTATTAAGGTTTGATGATTTGCTGAAACTCTTTCCACACTGAGTGCATGTGAATGGTTTCTCTCCAGTGTGGATCATCATGTGTACATTAAGGTGTGATAAGCAGCTGAAACTCTTTCCACACTGAGTGCATGTGTATGGTTTCTCTCCAGTGTGGATCATCATGTGAATCTTAAGATAGCCTTTTTTTCCAAAACTCCTTCTACAGTGAGTGCATTTGAAACGAGTCTTGTCTGTCCTTTTCAAAATACCATCAGTCTGTAAATAGTTTTTTTCCTCAATTTTGACATGATGTTCCTCCTCTTTCCTCCCCTCATTCTCTCTTAGGTCTGAAATAAATAGATAAAACATTAGTTTTCATTAAGTCTTACAAACTCTCAAAAAAAGCTGAAAAAAGAAAAGACACTGAAACATTGGCTACACACATTGTAATTTTGATGCACATTAAATGTAAAATAAATCAGATAATATTTAGTTCTGTCCATTAATGTGTACACATTTAAGCAGATTTAATGCAATTCATGTTTATTTACCTAGTAAAGTTACCTACAAATGGGACTCTTATTCTGAAACCGCACTTGTTTGGGTGTGTTGTGGAAGAAAAGCGCAGCACATAGTGACAGTAGTGGTGGGCAAAGCGAGGCTTCATGAAACACTGAAACAGTCAAAGCAAAAGTGTCGAAGCTGTGAAACGTTTCGAAACCCCACTCTACAGTGACATCTAGTGGTCATTTTTTATGTATTGCACTGAAACAGCTTTAGCAAAGAACAGTTGAGCAAATTGAGGTAATAACACCCCACTTTGTATAATTGAATCTTCAAGTTACTTAGTGGAGTGGTTAAGGTGCCTGACTACCATGCGGGGATAGTGGGTTCGAATCCAGGCTAATACAGCCATTTTGAAATCCTTTAATACCAGTTGGTAATGCTTTGTTCTTGTATTGTTTTGTTTCAACATTGGTCTGACAACCGAATAAACACTTTCTAAATAAATATGTCTTGTTTTGGTCTTAAAACAGGGTTATTTCTAGATCAGACAATGTGGCCTGAAGTTGTCAAGAATTATTTATATTATTCATTAAATTTTCCATTTATTGCATTTTATTAACGTCTACCCAAACCCAAAACCCAACCATCACAGTACTGTAAAATATTTATTATTGTTTTACAGTGTTACAAAAATGATGCAAAATTGATGGCGTAACTGCTGCTGTATCCTATTTAGGCTACACAAAACAGAAACATGATTAAAACACACAAAACCATGACTTCAGAGTATTTGTACAAGTTGGGATTCGAACCAAAAAAGTAATTCGAAGCATAGCAACAGCGTGCACACGCACAGTCCACTAGGCCATATGAAACAGGAATTTTCTCTGACCTTGGCAGTCAAATACAGATTCGCCAGGCCTTGACACGCTTCTAAGCTAATCAATACTTTGAATCGCTTTAGTTACGTCACCAGGTGTTTCGAAACACTTAAGTCATGTGACTTGGGTGCTTCGGTGCAGTGTTTCGAAATACTTGTGCTTCAGGATCTCGACACTGTGTCGAAACGTCAGTTTCACATCAGCCATCCCTAAGTGAGAGGAGCTGCCGATGTCTGCGGGTGCGTGAAAGCTGTGCGCATTAACAGCTGAGAGGACGTTTTATACCCGTTCGCTTTCAATGATTGCTGCAGATGCAATATCTGGATGCTAGTCACTGAACTCAAAATAAGCCCTTTCGTTATTAATTTGTTAATGATTTCTGTTTTACCCAAACAACTTTATATACATCTTTAGTATACGGACAAGCCCGGACATGTCCCGTAATGATCATTCAGTTATTCAGATCACCGTTATTATTCTCCTTTGAGGTTTTCCTAACAGTTTATATTGTAATGTGAATCTGATATGTTATAAATTAAACGTGGAAAGGGGCTAGTATGGCTGAAAGACTGTTTAACTGCCTCACAATTTGTAGCATTTCTGGGCATTTAATGTATACCTGCATGTGAATGAGTATTCTATCGACACATGAATGTTTAATCTAGACCTTTTTCCAGATAAATCTAATTTCTACTTATCTAAATTGTTTAGTAAAAAAATGTAACTGATAGGGATGTAACGGTATTGTAAATACCGTCATACCGAAATATTAATTTTTTTCGATATTACCGTAGTCGCATGACTCGGTAAAACTATAGGTCTTCTGAGAAAATTTGCTCAGGCGAATGAAGCGAACGGGAGGTACCGGAAACTACAATTCCCATCAGCCCAGGCTTGACCATCATCCCTTGCGGTCTGTTGTCGCTACAGATCCAGTAATGCGGAAATGGAGTGTGCTGCTAGAAGCGGGGATCAAAAAGAGCTGGAAAACCCTAAAGCGGGTGTTGTCGCCGCGCGCCTACTGAATAGTGGTGTTGTCGCGCGAGTTCTTATCAGCTGTGTTGTCGCGCGCGTACTGTAAATCGGGGACGGAGGGTATGTCGCGTCGCGGGGGCACTTTTGATCATTTTGGAAGGGAACTTTCTATCCAAGACTAAAAAGGGCATGTGCACTGCACAGGTTGAGCACTGTGTGTGCATGTGCCTGCAAGTTGGGGAATACGACTCAGTCATGGGGACTGCAGAAACACAGCACACTGTTCAGATTGATGCAGACATGAGATCTCTATCTCACTCATGGTTTGTCCTCTCAAGTGGGGGAAAGACAATGCACAACGTTACCCACTGCTGTCAACCTGGGCCAAGTCATATCTCTCTTGTCCCAGAAACCTCAGTCCCAAATGAGAGGGTTTTTTTCTGTTGCAGGGGACATTGTAAATACCCAGAGATACCAGCTTTTACCAGATTATATTTATATGATAATTTTCCTTTAAACCCATCTCTATCTAAGTGAGTGAGTGATTAAATGTTGAATGTGATGAGTTTTCAACAATACTAAATTGAAACTTAATTTTTTTACATGGTTTAATATTTTTTTGTTATTAAAATTGAAGTTCCTGTTTCAAAGCTTACAGATAGATGGCTAATTTGTATATCATTGACACTTTTGGCACTTTTTTGGAGTATTTTCATAAGTTTTGTTTTTTTCCTGTACATGATTCAATAAATACTGTACCGTGACATTCATACCGAGGTATTACCCTACCGTGAAATTCTGATACCGTTACATCCCTAGTAACTGATGTTAATAAGGAATACTGGTTTATTACATAACAGCAAATTTTGTTTATACATTTGTAGCTTATTTATTATTTTTATTGTACTTAATATTGTTCAGACTATGTACATCCTTGCATTTTCATCTGGGGTCCACTCCTCAACATTCAATATAAAGTGATAAAACAAATAACCTGTCTCCACATCCTTTGTGCTCTGACCAGTACTCAGAAGGGTTTACTCAAATTATTCATCTTCTGAACGTAAAACCTGTAGAACTAATTATCTAGTGCTTTTACAATGTAAATTACTCCACTTCCATTGCCCCAGCAACCCTGGACCCCGACATGTTCACATATCACCACATCTCCCCTCCTTAAAGTGATGATGCCCCCCTGTAGTAAATATATAGCAAATTCCCTTTTAGCAACATAGAACAAAGCAAATTATTTTTCCAAACTGGTAACAGATATCAATATCAACTTAACAATATCCTTTGCTTACAATCGTCAAACTCTTAACCATAACCTGTCAACATCACAGATGTGTTTTTAAGTTCACTTTTTTTCTTTTTTTTCCACAATCTTACACCATACTGTAGAAGTTAACATGCAAGTGGATTCTTTGCATCTGTACGGTTAGTGTAAACACCTACCCCAAAACATAATCCTTAAATTTTACTGGCTGTTTTACTTCTATACCAGTAAGGGTTCTTTTGCTTGAAGGTGTATGAGCGTGTAGTGTACTGGAAATTGGGGTAGCAAACCCATTCATAGAGTCTGTGTAGCAAGATAGCTTATTAAAGCTAGCTGTGGATCTGGATGTGAGTAGTGAGGGCTGGAGGTAGTGTGAACGAAACCGTATGACGTTTTGAACTCCACAAACTCAGCGGACGTAAACTGAGTAGCATTGTAAGTTATAAGTTTGTATGGGATCCCCCACTGAACAAACATAGTTTTCAGATGCTTAATCACCAGCTGGCTTGTAATAGTTTGCAGAAGTGTGATCTCAATATCACGAGAATAATAGTCTCCCACTATTAAATATTTCTTACCATCTAGTTCACATATGTCCACAGCGATCTTTTGCCATGGCCCATCAGAAAGGGTTGTAACCATCAGGGGTTCTCTCTTTTGTATCGACTTTTAGACTTGACAGAACTCGCACGTCTCTACTGTTTTTGTAATGTCTTTGCCTATTCTAGGCCACCATACAGACATATTTGCCTTCTTTTTGCACTTCGTGAGGCCTTGATGATCTGTGTAAAGCTGACGTAACACATCCAGTCTCTGTAAACCAGGAATCATAATTCTATCCTTATAAAGCAAAAGTAGAACAATTTCTGAAAGGTGAGCCCTAGCTGCATAAAACCTGTGCAGCACACTTGTCAACTGAGATGTTTGACTGGGCCATCCTTGGGCCATCTCCATCTCCTGGGCCATCTCCAACTGGAGATCTGAATATTGAAGCGTGGCTTATGGCAATAAACCAGTCTTCCCTCACAGGCTTAAGGCTGATTTATACTTCTGCGTCAAGCGCACGCATATGCTACGGCACAGCCTACACGTAGCCATAAGCCGTGGCCGTCAACGTCTCTGACATGCACCTCTCAAAACATGCAACTACACGTCGCACCGACACATAGCGCAAGCTCTGTGATTGGTCGGCTTGGTAGCGCTGACGAGTCTGGGCGGTACCGAGAGCCGTGCGAATAGCGCGAGACTGATGGAGCGATTCTTTCAAGTGTGGAGTCCCAGGAAGGAGCTTCAGATGGAAAGTTTTGTTTTGTGTTTACCTCATGGTTAAAGTTGTTGCACGTCCGCCGGTTCCTGCCTCAAAATGAGTGAGTTTGAGCCACTTTTACATTCAGGAAGCGTTCAGAAAAAACAAAACACTAGTGAAGAAACTCGACACAGAGGAACATTAACACCTCATTGCCAACTAGCATTTCGGAAGTGTTATTGCAGAAAAACAGAGTTGACAGTTGACAGTACTGCCTGTACAAACATTGTCAGGTCACGCTCTGTGTCAGACTCGCTGTAATGAGTCAGAGAATT